CTTGTAACCATCTCCAAAATTTGGCAATGCCTCCCCAACATTCACTACTTCATCAAAACAAACAGGAGTTTAAGAGTAGACTACAACTATGCCCGCTTTACAAGGAAGGCAGCCCATCCTGCACCAGCCCGCTTGGCACCGCAAAACTAAAGACCCAGTCCTCACGACCCACCCCAATAATGTATTTTAAGTTTCGGAAATAGTAGAAAATAGGCAAATATAAAAAACTTACGAAAGTATATCGGTTAATTTTTCGTTATAGAAATTAATAGGTCATAACTTCTCAAATTATAATTTATAATCAGATAAGTTATGGACAAACTTATCAAGTTATGGTTCATAGCCAGAGAAGTTATGAACAAAAATCGTGAATTATGGACAATAACTTGTCATCATAACCAGACAAGTTATGGATAAAAACAGTAATTTGGCCTATTTATTAACTTATGTAAACTATTGGCCTATTAATTTTAATTCATCTCAAGTCTTGGCATATTTTCCTCTTTCTCCCTTTTAGTTTTAGGGCGTTTAGTTCGCTGATTCGAGTTTTTAATTTGAGTTAAGATATAATTTTATATAAAAACTTTTTACTATAATAAAAAAATTAGATATGACTATTTCTAAAAGTTTTTTTACTGTAGCAAAACTCGAATCAGTGCGGGGCCTTAAGTTATTTCTTTCCAGAAGACACAGATTATTTTTTAGAGGTGGTTTTAGATCTCATATTAGACGTGTTTTAGAAATTCTTCTGTCTCTCTCTCTTTTTAAAATTTTTATAATTTATGTATTAAAGAAATTATTTTGAGTTAATTAACTAAAAGGGTAAAAGAGACGTTTTATATCTCAAAAACGGGGACAAGATATGTGAATGATAGTTTTTTAAACTAAAAGAGGTGGTCTTTAGGAAATGTCTCTAGTTCCACGGCCATACCAGTCTCACAAATGCAATATATTTTGTTTGTTATTATAATATCGTTTGCATATTTGCATAACACTAATTTTGTCTAAGTATAATACTCAATAAAATATAGTAAATTACAAGTTCGTATGAAAAATGTTACACTTTGTGATATCATACAACTACTGTACTTAAAGTCCATGTCATTGTCTTTAGTAAGTTATCTACAATTTGCACCTTTTGCAATATGACTTCAAGTAACAAGTAAGAGAAAAGTAGATGGTTTGCTATAATTTTGTGTAGACTTATTATTTATGCCATTCTAAATAATTGAGTGACATTATAATTTTTATTTTTTATTTATTAATTGAATGATAATTATTTATTTTTAAGTAAAATGGTATAAATAATATTTTTTTTATCATCTTTAGTGGTATTTCTGGTTTTTCTCCTACAGGAATGCAAGGAATGCCCATATTCTTCCAGGCTCAAAACATTCGCTGCAAGCAACTCGAGAGGCACACAAACAATAATTAGAACTTCTGTTCCCTTTTTTCTTTTTTCTTTTTTTTTTCCCTTAATATAATCAATACTGAATCCTGATGATAAACATCCTGATGATAAACACAACGTTAAGAAGTTTTTCCATGATAACGATATTTCTCTTATTGCAATGCAATTTTGAAGGTCACCACTTAATTATCCCTTCATTTCCTGCCAAATATCTTTTTTCACTAAAAAAGAAGATTTCTGTACCAACATTTATCTGTTCTGCCCAAGTTTCCTTTTTTCCTTTCCTCTCCAAACATCAGTTTATCCAATAATAAACATGCAAAGCGTACCATTTGGAAGCATAAAATACACTATTCTGCATCTGAATTGAACAGGGGGGAAGAAAAACGGTTAGTTACATCTACTCGGAGAGCATTAAATCATAGACAATTTTGTCAACCATCGCCATCAGTATGTGGATCTAAGTGTTCTGACATGTCTTTTTCCGGCTTGTTTCGAAGATCAGATTTCTTCACAGTATCTCATAAATCTGCAAAAATAACGAACAGCAGCTCATTCAGAATGGAGAAGAGAAGTTATTTTTACGAGAAAACTAGTTCCTTGTTCTCGTGGTCATTAGTTAACTGCATTTCCGTCATGCTGCGACATGGAGGGGAAAAAACTTTACATTTATTGGCATCTCAGCTATTACAAGATTGCTGTTCTCTTCAAGGCTTTTGAGCGTCACTACCTCACCCCCAACAACCATATTGATTACAAAGCCATCTGCATAATTACAAGAAATAACTGTGAAACCACAAAATCAGATACTTTGTATAATTAATGAAGGAATAAAGCATTAGAGAAAGAACCTGAGGCCAAACAAGTTGACATCCGTCTCGTGTATGTTTCCTGCTCAACAATGATGTGAAGGAAGCAAGTAAATGGAGATAGAAGAGAAGGTATACAACATGTTTACTGCTAGAGCGTGAATAGTTAATTAGCCACTTGGTGAAGTGCGGGGTGAATAGTACTCATTTTACGAGCTCAGATGCGACTGCTAGGCAAGGTGAAGAGAGACTTCTTAAGATGATTAAAACCTTTATAGGTGGTAGAATTCATGTGCTAACAAAGCCAGTAGGCATTAAAGTGGTTGGATTTCAAGGACGAGGTACGAGCGGGTGTGGTGAAGGAGGCTCTGACAATCCGACCAACTGTTGGGAATTAGTTGGAGAACGGATATGCCCTAGAGAAGGGGTTGGAGAGATGGACGGACTGACTGAGGGAAGTCAGTTGGAGAATGTCCAGTGCCATAGAAGGGGTAAGAAGCCCCAGAGGAGGGAATAAAGAACAAAAAAGTTATTCGGGAATGACAAAAAAGTATGGTTTCCCCTGATAAGCCCCTACTCAGGCAAGTGTATGTTAGGAGGAATAAACAGGGTTAGGAAAGGCTGTCTTTAGCTTGCTGTAGGTGTGGAAGCTTGCTGTGGAAATGTTAGTATTAGTTTAATTAGCTTACTGAGAAAGTTTGTTTGTTAGAGGGAAAGTGTACAAAAGGGGGGGCAAGAGGGATAGCCAGGCATCGGGAAATTAACAGAAATCTTGTACAAATCTTGGAAAGATTCCAAGTAAGGGAGGAAGCAGACCCTCAAAGTTCTGCCGATTGGAGTGTACATTTCTATAATCAATAAAGTCTACCGTGATTCTTTTCTTCTTTCTTTCAGTTCTTTTCTTGATTTTGTTCCAAACGACAGTCTTTATCATTTTGGTATCAGAGCACTTTTCTGGGTGATAATGGCTGCCAGAAAAGCGGAGGAGAAATTTGAGGCGATGGAGAAGGAGATTCATCAAGTTAAGGCTTCAGTGGAAAAGGAATTTGGCGAGGTAAGGGCGGAAATGAGCCAAAGTAGAACGGAAATCAACCATAATATGGCTGAAATGAGCCAGAATGTGTCGGATCTGTGCCGACTGATGGAGGAGCAGATGCAATTGCTTTCTGCGGCGACGACGGCGAATCTGCCGGCGGAGGGATCACGTTTAGGAATCGCGAAGGTTAGGGAAGACGAGATCGGAGTGGTCCAAGGACTAGCTCGTGAAGTTGCTGGACTGGTGGAGGAGGACGGTCGCAACTTAGGAGAAATAGCCGATCCTCAGGTTCTCGGGGAAAGGGAAAAGGGAAAATGACGGGAAGTGGACTGCAGGGAAAACCAGGTCAGAGAAGAGATCGCGCGAGCTAGGGTTTGATTCGCGAACGGAAATCGTTCCGATCTCAATCGAGATGGACGGAATGGCCGACCCAGGGGCGGCGAGACCGGCGACGGCGAACGCAACCTCCGCAATGGGCGGCGCGGTGATTTCCGAATGGGAGGAACTTCCGAGGATGTACGGGACGGTTGCAGTGGCCGAAATGGATAAGGAGAAGGAGGAGTTCATACAGGAAATGAAGGACCTAGACAGAGAGGGGATGGTCGTTTTGAGAGAGGGGATGGTCGTTTTGAGGGGGGACGTTGCGGTGGACATATGGGTAGAGAAGGAAGACGGTATTGGGAGGAAAATGAGGCTGAGGACTCTATGGATTTCATGGGCAAGTATGGGGAGCCGTGGGGAGGTGAGGATTTCTCACAGGTGAGGCGGAAACAATTGGACTACCCGCTGTTCAGTGGCATTGATCCGGATGGTTGGCTGTTTAGAATGAGCCAGTTTTTCTCAATTAACAGGTTCTCGGAGAGGGAAAAATTAATGACTGCAGGAATTGCATTAGAGGGAGATGCACTATCATGGTTTCAATGGCAGAATCAGCGGCGGCCTTTCATCACTTGGACTGATTTCAAGGTGGCTCTCCTGCAACGTTTTCGTTCTTCACAAGAGGGAAATCTGTGTGAACGATTTCTGGCACTTAGACAGACAGGTACGGTGGCTGAATATCGCCGGAATTTTGAGGTATTGGCTGCCCCTTTACAAGAAGTTCCGGAAGAAATCCTTGAAGGCATTTTTGTGAATGGATTGAGGGCTGATATTCGGGCTTAACTGCGCTTACTCAAGCCAGAGGGGCTCTCCGAAATCATGGACATTGCGCAGCGAATCGAAGAGAAAAATCTGTTGCTGCGAAGGGAGATTGGCGGGTCTCGAGTTTGGCGTCCTCAAGCAGCGAGTCTCACATCGAATCTGCCAATGGGAACTCCAGCGAATCAGCCTCAAGGCAGCCCTAGTGTCGAGAGGCCGAAGAAGGATTTTCCATTCTGGAAATTATCCGACTCGGAGTGGCAGGAGAAGAGGATTAGGGGACTATGTTTCCGTTGTGATGAAAAGTTTACTGTTGGGCATCGCTGTAAGAAGAGGGAGTTGCGGATTATGTTAGTTAGTGATGAGGACGAATTTGAAAACGAGGAAATTGAGTTGGATGAGGCAAAGGAGGAGCCCGGGGAATTGCTACGAACGGAGGTGATCAAGTTATCCTTGAACTCCGTAGTGGGGTTGACGACACCAAAAACCATGAAGATAAAGGGGGAGATTGGTCATCGTGAGGTAATTGTTTTAATCGATTCCGGGGCTACACACAACTTTATTTCTCTTACTCTAGTGTCAGAATTAAAATTGTCCATAACTCCTACAACGGGTTTTGGTGTCCAAACGGGCATGGGGGAGTCGGTACAAGTGCAGGGATTGTGTAAAGAAGTGGTGTTGAGCATGCAAGACTTGACCATAATTGAGAATTTCTTGCCACTGGAATTGGGTGGAATAGATGTGATTCTAGGAATGCAATGGCTTGAGACTTTGGGGAGTATGAATGTCAATTGGAAGACTCAAGTTATGAGATTCAAGGTGCACGGGGAGAATGTTGAAGGGGGATGCTAGTCTTACAAGGTCATTGATTTCCCTCAAGGCCATGATGCACACCATTCGTCATGAAGGGCAGGGCATTTACTTGGAAATGAGTCAATTGGGGGTGGAGCAAGGTTGTGATAAGGAAGAGGAGAGCAATGAGCAACTTTGCGTTTTGTTGCAAAAGCATGCGGCAGTTCTTAACATGCCAGCCGGTTTACCTCCTCACAGAGTGAAGGACCACCACATAATTCTTGACAATGGCACCGGTCCGATTAGTGTCCGACCTTACCGATACCCCCATTTTCAAAAAAATGAAATCGAGAAGCTAGTAAGGGAAATGTCGGCGGCTGGAATTATACAGCCGAGTACGAGCCCTTTCTCCAGCCGGTTTTTCTCGTCAAGAAGAAAGATGGCAGTTGGAGATTTTGCATAGATTATAAGGCGCTAAACAAAGCCACGGTCCCAGATAAATTCCCAATTCCGGTGATAGAAGAGTTGTTAGATGAGTTATGCGGAGCCACCATCTTCACCAAATTAGATTTGAAATCAGGATATCACCAAATTCGCATGTGTGACGAGGACATTCCTAAGACTGCTTTTCGCACTCCTAAGGGACACACTGAGTTCCTCGTTATGCCTTTCGGATTAACCAACGCCCCAGCTACATTTCAGTCTTTGATGAATGAAGTATTGAAGCCATTCTTATGCCGCTTTGTGTTGGTTTTCTTTGATGACATCCTGATTTACAGCCGTTCTTCTTGGGAGGACCATTTGGAGTGCTTGGATAGGGTCCTTTCGGTTTTGTAGGCCAACTAGTTGTACGTCAATAAAAAAAATGTCTCTTCGCACAGGAGCAATTGGAATATTTGGGTCATGTGGTCTCTAGGAATGGAGTTTCCGCGGATTCCAGCAAGATACAGGCTATGTTGGATTGGCCTACTCCGCGGTCCATCAAGGAGTTGCGGGGGTTCTTGGGCCTCACAGGTTATTACTGCCGTTTCGTGGAGGGGTATGGACGCATTGCGTGGCCATTGACGCAACAACTTAAGAAGGACGCCTTTCACTGGAATTCTGAGGCTGAGGATGCTTTTCAGCACTTAAAAAGGGCTATGACTGAGATTCCAATGTTGGCCTTGTCAGATTTTTCACAACCTTTCGTGGTGGAATCTGACGCTTCGGGGTTTGGTCTAGGAGCGGTTTTGATGCAACAGCAGCGCCCCATCGCTTACTTTAGACAAGTCCTTTCGGCGCGCGCTCGCGCCAAATCGGTCTATGAGCGGAAACTGATGGCCATTGTGTTAGCCATTCAGAAATGGCGACCTTACTTGTTAGGAAGACGCTTTGTGGTGCGTACCGATCAGAAAAGTTTGAAGTTCTTATTGGAACAGTGCTTGGTAATTGTGGAGCATCAAAGATGGTTATGTAAATTGCTTGGCTATGATTTCGAGATTCAATACAAACCGGGTCTAGAAAATAGGGTGGCTGATGCCCTATCAAGACAGCAAATGGGGCTTGCTTTAATGGTCATGACAACTCCAATGGTGCTCGATATTAAGGAGTTGCAGCGGCAGGTTAAGGCAGATCCGGGGCTCAGTAAAACCGTGAAAGAGTTGTTGGCTGGCTCTCCTTCTTCGGCGGGGTTTTCTCTTCAAAGGGAGCACTATACAAGAGCAGGTTGGTCATTCCTCCAAAATCTCCTCTTATTCCGACCCTGTTATGTGAGTTTCATAGTAGTAAGCTAGGCAGGCATTCGGGGGTCTTTAAGACTTACAAGCGGTTGGCAATGGAGTTTTACTGGAGGGGTATGCGTAAGGATGTCGAGTCTTTTGTGGCTGCTTGTGCCGTCTATCAACAACATAAGTCGTCGACGTTATCGCCGGCCGGGTTGTTGCAGCCTTTGCCTATACCCAATCGGGTTTGGGATGATATTTCCATGGACTTTATTGAGGGATTACCTAAATCTGCGAGCTCTAATTCGATCTTGGTTGTCGTTGACCGCCTCAGTAAGTATGGTCACTTCATTGGCCTTAAACACCCGTTCTCGGCCAACACCATGGCTGCTTCATTTGTCCAAGACATAGTGCGCCTACATGGATTTCCGCGGAGTATCATCTCCGATCAAAACAAGGTTTTTATGAGCCATTTTTTAAAGGAACTTTTCCGATTGCAGGGCACTACTTTATACCGGAGTACGGCGTACCATCCACAGACGGATGGACAAACGGAGGTCGTCAACCGTTGTTTGGAGGCCTACTTGCGTTGTTTTGTCTCTGGCCAACCTAGGTAGTGGTTTACACATCTTTCGTGGGCGGAATATTGGTACAATACGAGCTTTCATGTTTCGGCTGCCATGACGCCTTTCAAAGCTCTCTATGGACAGGATCCTCCGCAGTTGGTGCCTTATGAGGCCGGTTCTACGACTACATCAGAGTTGGAGCGGCAACTATGCGATCGAGATGCGCTGTTGGCGGAATTGAAGGACCATTTAGGTCGCGCTCAACAGTCTATGCGAGACCATGCCAACAAGAAGCGCCGTTCTGTGACATTTGAGGTGGGTGACATGGTTTATTTGAAGCTCCAGCCGTATTGTCATCGAGCGTTGGCGCGTGTGGTAAATGAAAAGCTTGCTCCTCGCTATTATGGGCCGTTTCCAATCCTCACTCGAGTTGGTCCAGTGGCGTATCAGCTGCAACTTTCTTCTCACGCTCGGATTCACCCGGTCTTTCATGTGTCCCGCTTGAAGAAGGCGCTAGGTCCTGTGGATATTCCTTAATCTTTGCCTCCAATCTTGTCGGAAGATTTGACGTTGCAAGTGGAACCCGCTCAGGTCCTGGATACACATTTTTCCCCTGCCACAGGTTCCTTGGAGGTTTTGATTAAATGGCGCCATCTTCTTGACTTTGAATCTTCATGGGAGCTGTTTGAGGTGATTCAGTGCCAGTTTCCTGCCTTCCACCTTGAGGACAAGGTGACTTTTTTGAGGGGGGGGGGGTGTAATTGATAAGCCCCTACTCAGGCAAGTGTATGTTAGGAGGAATAAACAGGATTAGGAAAGGTTGTCTTTAGCTTGCTGTAGGTGTTGGAAGCTTGTTGTGGAAGTGTTAGTATTAGTTTAGTTAGCTTACTGAGAAAGTTTGTTTGTTAGAGGGAAAGTGTATAAAAGGGGGGGCAAGAGGGATAGACAGGCATCGGGAAATTAACAGAAATCTTGTACAAATCTTGGAAAGATTCCAAGTAAGGGAGGAAGCAGACCCTCGAAGTTCTACCGATTGAAGTGTACATTTCTACAATCAATAAAGTCTACCGTGATTCTTTTCTTCTTTCTTTCAGTTCTTTTCTTGATTTTGTTCCAAATGACAGTCTTTATCATCCCCTTCTTGTTGTGAGTCGAGAAGTTTGTTCAATAAGTGGATTGTGGAAAACAATGTTGTGGTTAAAAATAAATAAAAAGTTCTGCCAAAGTCCCAGAGAAATTATGAAATGCTCTAAAGTGTGCACAGGGTTTAACACAATCTAATAAACGGTTGAATTAATAAAATCAGACACTGAATAAGCAGTGTAACCCTTGCTAGTTGCAACAAAAGATAAACTACCAAAGAATAAACTGCATATGAGCTTTGTCTACATTCTTTTCAGCTACTCATGAGAAGTAAAGTCTTTAAGATTTTTTCACACAACTGCAAATATGTTTTTGTAGATCGCAAAGGCAAATTCCGCCAATTTTTTCTCCATCGAACAGAGAATCTCTAGGGGCACATGGCTATTGAGTCTTAAACACACTAGTTGAAAAAGTCTAATCGGCAACAATAGAAAATCGGATGCAAAAGAGTAAAACACACTAGTAGACATGAACACAAGCAATATAACACATACAAGTCATAAAGGAAGAATAGGATCTCCACCTTCTTTGTTGGTAACTCAAAATTTATTAGAACATGAGCAGCAATAGGTGCCTCCCCAGAAGAAATAAGAGGAAGGCATGCATCCGTTACGACAATCATATGAGTTTTTTGTTCATCTTTGCCAATATCACAGTCCGCTCCTGATTCGGCACTAACTTTTTGGTTCCACCTTGTCGTTGCTTGCCGGAAGTTCTCTAGAACCGATGCACGATCTGCTTCTGGAAGGTCACTGTACTGGCACACACACACACACACACAAAACAAAAACAAAAAACAACGCATGTGCCTTAGAACACACTGTAGTGCTAGGAAAAAACAAGTCCAGTACATATATGTTGGGAATAGTGTCCTAAAAGCATAATATGTAATAAGATGTTTATTATTTAATTAATAAAAGAGTTTATTCATCATTTTATGTGCATATATTTATGAATATTTTATGAATATCAAATGAAAATTCCGTGATTATTTATGTAACCTTAAACACAGTATATAAGTGTTATATATAAGAGGATAGTGTTTAAGGATAATAATCAAAAACATTGTTCATAATGAATTTAATTAAAGTTCAGAATCTTTAATTAAAACATTATTAATACATGTCATTCTCATTTAGAATGGAACGGTGCTATCCGCACTGTTAATATGGTGAGATATTGAATGAGTGTATTTCGCATAATGAGATTGTGTGAAACAATGACACATACACAATATGAATTTCTAATAATTTCCGTTAAAGCATAGAAATTCTAATTGAGTCTACCGATGGTCATATATAGAATGATCTTAATCATGAATTCTTAACAAACTCCTATTTATGGATTTATGTCTTTTGATTTACTCGGTACGGATTCCGAGACCCTGAATCCTATTCCTTATATTTTGGAGATATGATGAAATATGTAGCTGAGAATGTTATTATACGAAATGGAATCTATTCCTTCTTGAGAAAGAAGTAGATAAATAAGGGGTTGTTCTTTTGGAGTGTAATTTGAGTGTAGTTTTTGAGTTGAATTTGAGTTATAACTTGAGTTGAAGTTGTAACTTGAATAAAGTTGAGTAAAATTGAATAAAGTTAAAACTTAAAAGAACATGAACTTGAATAAAGTTAGAACTCGAGTTATCTTTTTTTGAGTTTTTTAGACAAAAGAACAACCCCTAATTCTCTTGAGTGTTGATTCGGTACTTGGATTAGTAAGAGCGCTCTGATTCATGAATGTGTTTTATGAATCACTATCCATTAGAGAATCAATGGTACTCAAGGATGAAGATATAATTAGAGAGGTTAACGGATTCTACCTGACTCTAATTATGAATTATTTATGAAGGATTGATCTATATGTAATGACTACATCAAATGGACACTTCACAGTTTAGAAGTAATTAATGTCTATAATTTTGAGAGTTCAATTCCAAGTTTATAGTGGAGTAACTATTGGAATTAATATAATTAATTAATTAATTAAAGTGTTTAATTAATTATTAATTTTATTAGAGCTCGGGATTATAGGTCCATAAGTCCCCGCGTCGTCCTTGTAATTCTACCAGACACAAAGAACAAAATGAAAATTTTAGAATTATGGAATTCTAAAATTAAATGCTCGAAAAATAATTAATTGAGAATTAATTATTATTTAAATAATGTGATTATTTAAATTTGAATTGTGAACATAATTTAAATTTATCCTTTTAAACTTATTTGATAAGTTATTCAATTTAGAATTCAAATTAATTTAAGTTTGACTTAAATTCGAATTTGAATTTGAATTAAAATTGGACTATAGGATAAAAGATGAATTCACTTCCTTCCTTATCCAGTTTTGGCGCCACACACAGGGTTAGAAAATCCTAGGGGTGGCCGGCCACTTTAGGGATAAGTAGAGGAGATTTTGTTGTTTCAAATTCAAATAGGAGATAGAGATTTGATTCTGTTTTGAAGTTTGACTTCTACTCTTTAAATATGATAATGATAGAAAATTGTGAACACAATTTTTAAAAGCAATTTTTTCTGCCCTAAGAGTTGGTGGCCGAATTTTCTCAAAGAAAAAAAGAGAGGAAAATTTTTCTCTCAAAAAAAAATTCAACATCGTGCATGCGTTGGTGTTTGTGAAAATTCGAGTGTTTCTGAAACATGTTTTGTCTCACGTGTACCCACATACACGTCTACGTGGAATCAAAAAATCGACGTGAAAAACTTTGATCTTCTAAACACAAAGCTTGGAGCAAGGACTGTTCGTGGACAAAGAACTCAAGTTATCATCCGAGTCGGCTTCCAGATATTTTTCCTGAATGAGTTCTTGATATATATAAATTAATGTGATTAATTTATTCGTGCATAAATTAATATAATCTATAGAGTATCTCAAAAATTTTTCTGAAATTTTTGTTATACACGATCCGCCTCCCCGTCACGCTTCCGCATCCGAATTCGATTCGGTTTCCAACAATATAAACATAGGGTGCTGGTGTCCAGGCCTTAAGCAAGTTACTACTTGTAGAATTCAAAATTAGACCAAAAAAGAGAAACATATAACATCCGATTATCCGAACCAATTAAAAAAACCCAGTATTCAATTCATTAGGCAACGGCTGAATCAATTATAACAAGCTCAAAGTAATGTCATTCACAGAAATGTTGATTGTTGACCATGGGCACAAAAAGTCGAACTTTTGACAATCCTAATACAAAAGGTTTTGAATGTCAATACCCATAGTAAAATTTGTTGGAATTGTTGTCGGCCATACTAGTCCTCGTCAATGTAACATCATTTGTATATTTGTGTAGCACTCATTTTGTTCAAGTGCAACACTAGATAAAATGTAATCTTCTGCCATGTTATATTACACTTTGCTCAGTATTATTGTGTTACACAAAGAAGTTACAATTTTATAAGAAAAAATGTTACACTTACCGTACCATACGGTTGCCGAACTTAAGATAATGCCAAAATTTGTAATGGCCCCCTAAAGAAATGAGTCAGAATCATTTATTATGATAATTAAACCATATTTCTGATATTTGTTTTATTAGCCCTTTTTTATTTTGTGATTTTTCTGTTATGCCAGCTGTGTAAGTAAGAAAGTTTGTTAGCTAACAAATTTAGAAGCAGTGCCTCTATATGTAATTGGGTTGCTCCCCTTTTCATCGTAAGAAATGAGAATGTTTATACTCACCTCCGCACCTTTGGCTGTTTATGTTATGGTTCGACTCTTCCCAATCACCGCACAAAGTTTGTCCCTCGGGCTCGTGCCTCAGTTTTCCTTGGTTACCCTTTTGATTAATAAAGGTTACAAATTACTCAATTTAGAGAGCAACAAAACTTACATTTCCCGTAATGTGATGTTTTATGAATCCATCTTTCCTTTTGCTAATTCCCCACCCGGTCCTGCTCTCCATGACTTCTTCACTGACCGAGTGCTTCTCACACCCCTTCCTTCCTCTCCTGAATCTCTTCCCTCCCCTAACTCATCTTCCTCTTCTATCCAAGCTACGTCTCCTCCTCCTACTGCCACTGTTCTTCCTCCCTCAATTCCTACCTGCCGACCACAACGACTCACCAAACCACCCTCTTATCTGTCTGATTATCATTGTTCCTTAGTTACACAGTCATCTTCCTCTTCCTCTTCCGTTCTCAGTCCATCCCACTCTACTTCTCATCCAATATCCTCCTTTCTTAGTTATCACAAGTTGTCCCAGCCATACCGGACCTATGTCTTGTCTCTCTCATCCCATACCGAACCAAAATCTTTCTCTCAAGCCGTTGAGTCTCATATGTGGCGTGACGCAATGAATGTTGAGTTGCAGGCTTTGGAAAGCAACAACACCTGGTCTATCGTGCCTCTTCCTCATGGCAAACACCCGGTGGGTTGCAAATGGGTGTACAAGACCAAGTTTCACGTTGATGGAACTGTTGAAAGGCATAAAGCCCGTCTCGTTGCGAAAGGTTACACACAACAGCATGGCATTGACTTCCTGGACACATTCTCACCTGTCGCAAAGCTTGTTACAGTCAAAGTTTTGCTTCCTTTAGTTGTTGTTTTTGGCTAGTCTCTTACTCAGCTTGATGTGACAAACGCATTCCTCTATGGAGACCTCACTGAAGAAGTTTATATGACCCTTCCACCTGGCTATGTTGGTGGAAAGGGAGAGATCTTACCTCATAATGTGGTTTGCAGGCTCCATAAATCAATCTATGGCTTGAAGCAAGCGTCTCGACAATGGTTTCACAAGTTCTCAAGTGTTCTACAATCAGAAGGGTTCACACAATCGGATTGTGACCATTCCTTATTCACCAAATCTCATGGTGATTCCTTCTTGGCTCTCTTGGTGTATGTTGACAACATTATAATAGCAAGCAATGATCAAACTGCTGTGGATACTCTAAAGGCAGCCCTCAATAGACAGTTCAAGATGAAGGACTTGGGGGCACTAAGGTATTTTTTGGGTTTCGAGGTTGCTAGATCCGCTGTTGGTATTTCTCTTTGTCAAAGAAAATATGCTCTAGAGTTGCTATCCGAAGCAGGATATTTGGGTTGCAAACCTGTTTCCGTCCCTATGGAACCCAATTTGAAAATCTCACAATCTAATGGTGACTTACTTGAGGACCCTACAAGCTACCAAAGATTAATTAGAAAGCTAATATATCTCACCATCACACATCATGATCTTAGCTATTATGTAAACCGTCTCAGTCAATTTCTAGCAGCTCCACGCACTGTGCATCTTCGAGCAACTATGTGGATTTTGCAATACATCAAGAGAACTCCTAGTCAGGGACTTTTCTTCCCTTCGACTTCAACTATACAGCTCAAGGCCTTTTCAGATGCGGATTGGGGTACTTGTCCAGACACTCGACACTCCCTTAGGCTTTTGTATTTTCCTTGGATCCTCTCTCATTTCTTGGAAATCTAATAAGCAACAAGTGGTCTCTCGCTCTTCTGCGGAAGCTGAGTACCGATCCATGGCCAACACCACTTGTGAGATTGTTTGGTTGCTTGGTTTGCTTAAGGATTGAAAGTTGATCACCAGGGACTAGCTCTCCTTTACTGTGACAATCAAGCTGCCCTTCACATTGCTGCCAACCTGGTCTATCATGAGCGTACCAAACACATCAAGATCGATTGTCATTTTGTGCGAGAAAAGATCCAAGATGGAGTCTTAAAAAACCATGCATGTTTCAACTCACAATTAGTTTGCAGATCTTCTTACTAAAGCTCTTCATCCTACTCAGTTTCAGCTTCTTTTAAGCAAGATGGGAATTCATAATTTGTACTCTCCATCTTGAGGGGAAGTGTTAAGATAATTAAACCATATTTCTGATATTTGTTTTATTAGCCCTTTTTTATTTTGTGATTTTTCTGTTATGCCAGCTGTATAGGTAAGAAAGTTTGTTAGCTAACAAACTCAGAGGCACTGCCTCTATATGTAATTGGGTTGTTCCCTTTTCATCGTAAGAAATGAGAATGTTTCTTCTCCTTTCCATTCTATTTTCATAATATCATTGTCCAATATACAATTTACCCAATTGAATCCCAGTTCCTCATCAAAAGACTAGAAGGTTATCCCACCATCTAACTTATATCTATCTATCGATATATCTATATATACATATATATATATATATGTATATGTAACTAATTTTGTTGATTCCAGGCCAAAAAAAAAAAAAAAAAACTAATTTTGTCCAAATAGTGAAGGAAATTATTAAGAATCAGAAGACTGGTATAGAAGAGCAAAAATACCAAAGGGGCCAAAGAGATGAAGGGGAGACCGGAGACGGCGGAACAAACAGCGTCGAGCTCGTCACGTGAGCTGCACGTGACCACCATTGGCAGGCCTGGACGGTCCCCCGCCATGCCCAGCAAGTCCAGCAACGTCACCTGCAAATTGCAAAATCCCCATATCCCCTTTGAATTTAAAACAAAAAAAAATTAAAAATTAAAAACGAAATTAAAAAGAAATAAAATTTTGAATGTGGAAATTGAAATTTGTGGACCATCTTGTATTGGAGCCTGTCGACGGCAACATAGAAGTGGCGTTGTTGACTGCAAGGAAGCATAAGTTTTTGTTTATATTAATAAGTAAATTAAAAACAAAAACAAAAACAAAAACAAAAGAAGAAGAAAGAAGGATTGGAATGAATAATAAAGGAGTTGGGTAAACAAGAAAGAAAAGAACCTGAAATGGGAAAGAGACGGAGATTCAACAGCATCTATGGCCATATTTCAATTCAGATTCCCTGCAAGTTTCAGCAACAACCTTTTTTTTTTTTCTTTTTTTAAGGGGTGAGACGAAAATGGTTGAAAATGAGATTATGGCTTGAAGAGAGAGAGAGAAGAAAGAACAGCTAACTGACATGTGGTTTCGTTATTGTTAATGCTTTAGACAGTTTTTTAATTTTTTTGCTTTATGTCGTTATTGTCAATGCTTTATGTCGTTTTTAAAAATTTAACAGCTCCGTCTCCTCCCCTTTTTTAAAAAAATTTTAACTTCAATCATTTTTTTCCAACTCTATTATTATTTACGTCACTGAAAGATAACTTATAAACTAATGATATAGTATAAATAAACTAGTCTTACATAATTGTTTTTTAAAATTTTCTTTTTTTTTTCCTTATTAGTTCATGAGTTTCATGTTATGTTTTTCTTTTGAAGTTTACCGCATTTTCTTGGACAACTAAGGGGTTGTTCTATTATATTTTTGAGTTAGGGTGACGTGAGTAATGATTTTGAGTTGAGTTTGAGTTATAATTTGAGTTGAAGTTATAACTTGAGTTTGTGTTTGGTTATGCACATTTGAGTTATGATTTGAATTGAGAATCTTTTTGAGTTTGTGTTTGGATTGGTCAAAATAAATTTGTATTTAGATAATATTTTAATAAAAACTCAATGATGATGAAAAATTTTAATAGGGTATATGAGTGAGGTTTATTCGTCTTTTCGTTGTGAATGCATAGAAAAAAAATCATCTCAATCAGAATTAAAACGAAAAAAGTTATGACATTTTTAAAAATAGAAAAAATATTATTCAATAACTTGAGTTTGAGTTTATGAACTCGAGTTAAAATGGAAACTTGAAGAGTTTAGCCCCAAACTTGAGTTCAAACTCAAATTTTACAAAATAATATGAACTTGAATAAAGTTAAAATTTGAATTCAAACTTTTTCTGAATTTCATTGCAAAAGAACAACCCTAAGGTTTTTTCGTATATGTTTGAGTTACTATTTTAATGATTAGATTAATTTTTTAATAGTTTTTTCTATTATTAGAAAATAGTTATATATCGCATGTTATAAATTTTTATTATGAACACTAATAGATAAAATTATTAAAAATTAAATACTGCTAAAATAATGGTTCTTATAAATAGGGAAAAAAAAAACACAGTTCTCATCATAAAAATTTCCTATTTGGTTGTGGATTTTTGACAAAGGTTTTTCATTTTACTTTTCATGATTTATTACTTTGTTCATAACCTTTTTCTCTTGTAATTTGGTACTTAAATTTTCTAAAGAGTAGTGATTTTTCAATAATTATTTAGAGTTGAAATTAAAAAAATGGTTAATTCAGGAGCTAAATCTAAAAAAAAAAATAACTTTTTCTATAACTTTTTTAATAATGAAAGTGTCAAACTATGAGAAATTTAATGAATAGATGTGCTAAAAAATGATGTAAAAACTTTCTCGATGTTAATCCACATTAAACATTGAGGTTAGTTGTTTTTATTGGTTAATTTGATAATTAAATTGCCAAGGCAAAAAGGTTCGAAAATATATTTGTCAAACCACGAAAAGTTTAAAAGTACATATGCTAGGCATCCTTTTCATGTTCATTCCTACTCGACTGCTAGTACAAGTAGTTGCATTTTTTTTATTTGAATTTTGACGATTACACGTGAAAACAACACATAACTTATATCTTAAATGAATAATGCTAAGCTACCAACTCAAATATTAACTATGATATATTAACTGATATAGTATGTGAGTTGTCATTTTTATATCGATAAGTGTTTAAAATACTGTCACGTCAGTTAATAATTAGATATTACTTCTATTAATTAAATGATGATAACTGACATGCCAGGTACATAAGATTTGAGATCTGATTAGTGTCCCTAACATTACTTGTCCTCAATTATCTATGGTGTGTCCTTAAAACACGTCATTTTTTATATGAAATTTATTGTTGATAATTTCGCATCATTTACGAGTTAAAAGATAGTTTTTTCGGTAGGATTAGAAAAAATAAATTACTGGTAGTTTTTTATTTTTAGCCGTCTGATTTGTATCAGAAACCATTTACTCTGCATATTTTTTTAATCATATTTGATTTTAATCAGATCTAACAATTAGAAAACTGATCCTACTAATAAGATGGCATGTCAGAAAAACTCTTACTTAAAAATGAGCGCAGGCACCTTAGGAACTCTCTTGCTGCCGAACAGCCATCAATTGCCTCCAATAACATGCAAGCAAGAAAACTTCAAATGGGACCCTGTAATGTGATGGAGAAGTGGGAGGAAAATTTAAAAATTGTACATATACATTTAGCCCTTATTTAGGAAATAATAAATAATTTGATGAAATGAGTTGGATACAGGAAAGCCTTGAGTTGAGTTTCATGATTTTAAAGCCAAGGATAAGCACAAGGCTTTTATTTTAGACCTTTGGATCGGCCGGTAAGCAAAGATTGTGTGGGTTGTAAAGATTGTTGTAAAGCTTTTGTTTTAGAGGTGAAAGTAGGGGTGGCAATTCGTATCACGTGTCATGTTCGTGTCGTGTTTTGATTATTTTTTTAAAATTTACAGTCAATCTGAACACGACTCGTGACACGAAATTTTTTAAAAATCACAACACGACCCGAAAATGACCTGTGACACGAAATTGACCCGTAAATCCGATATTGACACGAAAATTGTATACTTTTATTTAGTTTTTTACATATTAGAAATAACTTAAAATTCATAACACACTAAATTACAATAACATCTATTGAAATTAAGCAAATAATAGTATAAGATTTTGAGTATAACTATCATGATATCACAAGTTCATAATAAAATTTAAAATATGTAATGAAAAATATTTGTTTTTTAATTTTTTACGAGTTTCGTGTCGTGTTCGGGTTATACGGGTCCAACTTGAAATTGACCCGTGTTTTTCGTGTCAATTTCATGTCGACCCAATTCTGACCCAAGCCTCTTTTTTCTAAACCCTAACCTGTAAAATTCGTGTCGTTTTCAAGTCGTATCGTGACCCATATTGTCAACCCTAGATGAAAGGAGGTGTATTTGTAGGGCAAGAGGAGCCTTCTTTTCTTTCCTGAGAAAATAGGGCAATATGTTAGAATGACTATCCAACAAAGTGAAATTAACAAAATGACATTCTTCTATTTTTTATGAAAAAAGACACTTATTCATTTTTTGTAAAAAGATGTCATTTTGTAAATAAAAATTTTTAAAAAGTTGTTTTACTAATAAAACTTTTTAAAAGAGTTATTTTTACAAATGCCTCGAAAAAATACTTTAATTAAGCTAGTTAGGAGGCATTCCTCATTCGACGTTGATTTCTCCTTCGTTTACTTTGAGAATTAGCAAATGTGGGGGAAAAAAATAGACATTTCTAATTTTCAGTTAATTAGTGTCATTTTCAAAGGAAAAAAAAGGCACGTGGTGATTGTTAATTAACAATAACTTAAAGAGTCTTTTTTAAGTGAAGAGAGCTTTTCAATTTTGAAGTTCGTACTCATCCATTTTAAATAGGTGGTTGTTTTTTTAAAAAAAAATTAAAAATACCACTTAAAATGATAAAAAATATTATATATGTCGCTCATTCAAAATAAACAAACATTATTTAATTAACAAAAAAAAATAAAAAATCATGATGGCACTTAATTATACATAATGATATAAACATTATAGACCTGCACAAAACAATCACAATCCATGTACTTTTCTCGTTGTTTTTCGCCCGGGATTGTCGAAGATTTTAGGTTGACCTTTTGTGCCGTAGGGTAAGCTAGGTCACACTAAGTTATATTTGAATTGCTTGACTTTTGGTCATTTATGTTATATTTTTGCCCGTCTATATGAGGCTTTGTTCTTAATTTTATTATTACAGTATTTTTTTTTATAAAAATTTATATTTATATTTATATTTTTTTAAAGTATTTTTTTTTTCATATACACAATTTAAATTCTTAACTTAAGTTGTGAAACAAACAAACTCTAAGAGTATTTACAAGTTAATTTTACGAACCTTTTTCGCTATTTACAACGATTTGATTATTCATTATTGCATTATTTTCTCATCACTTGTCTCTTTTTAAAAATACAGAAGCATACTATCTCATAAATTTTTGTCTTCATTATTAAAAGAATCTTGTCATCATTTTATCCCTTTGCATATTAATTAACTGTAAACACGTGCTCCGTAAGTGCGTATTCAACATTTTTTTTCCCGATATGAAGGTCCTATTTTTTTTAAAAAAAAATTTAGTTTATATTTTTTATTATTGTTTTCTTAAAAAATTAAATTCAGCAAAAAAATATTAAATAGAGCAATATTAAAAGGAAAAAAGTTTTTAGTCGAGCGCATGATTTAGTGGTATACGTGAAAGAAATGTATTTAGAAAAATTACAGATAAAATGTTTCTGTAAAGACACATTTGAGTACAAAATATTAAAGATTAATTATTAGGCATGTATAGTAAAAAAAGTATTTGAGATAATTACTTCGTAAAAAAAAATTAATTAGGACATATATAAAAATAAATTACAATAGAAAAATTAAAGGAAAAAAATATTTATGAGGGTCACATTTGCTTAAAGGGAAAAAAGAATATATTATAGAGGGAAAAAAGGGAGGAAAGAAAGAAATGAGGGAAAAAAAGAAAAAAGAAAGCAAAAAATATATATCGTATATATAGTAAAAAAAAAGTATTTAAGAGGATTATTTCGTAAAAGAAATGTTTTGATTAGTATGAGAAAAAATTATTTCAACAGGACAATTATAGTAAAAAGTACTGATCATGGCTCGAGTTCATGCATAAATTACACTGACTACTATTTATGAAGTTTAGTTAATTAACCACACCTTTTTTGTGTGCGTCATATTGACGTTTGTTTTCTACATTCGTCCCTGATTCTGAATCATGATTCATGATTCTCTATAATGTTTTCTCTCATAAAAAATATATGTAAAACGAGAATGATTATGAATCATGAGTCTGAATACATAAACCAAACGTATCTTTTCACGTAATGATGTATAAAAATATCTTATTTTTAAGTGGTTGTAAACTTACACATATAATTTAACAGAAAATTCACATATATTCCATCTTAACGTGTAAAATTC